CCCCCCCGCCCATGATCGAGACCTTTACGTCCCTATTGGCAGTTTGCAAATTTGACTTTAAAACTTGCCTGATGACAATGGCTTGAAAATATTAAGCTTAAACTTAAGGTGGTTGGATAATTTCGGCGCCCTACCTTACAACTTCGAAGCCCAATTACGCGGACGCAAACAAATCATTAGAAAATAAAACTTTCCCAGGTTTAAGAGAAGGATAGAATTTTCGAATGAACAAGTGAACAATAGAGTTTTCGAATGAACTCCAGTGGGATGTGTGAAATTATCCAATCAAGCCACCTTAAAAAGCCATTCATTTCATTCTAAAACGCTCTCGATTCATGAAAAATGCACATACGCGTAAACGTTCTCCCCCAAGTGTCAAACTTGCCTGATTGAAATGTAAATGTGTTTGAACTATTTTGCGATGTTATGTTTTCATGACGGTTTTTGTAGGTGGCCGACGTAATGCACGCTGTACTTGGGACACACAAGGAAGGTTCAGTACCATTCTTTGAACGTCTGCTTCCGGATATCAACGCTCTTATCGTAAGTACTAAAGATCAACATACCAAGCAGACTTGTGGTCTTCTTACCTAAGTCCCAGGACTTTATTGGGACAGGTCTACATTTGTACTTATCCATAGTCTAATTCTCTACTTTCACATCCCCATAATGCCTTGCGTCTTTGGGGGGTAACCAATCAGAAAACTGTCCCAAATTGAAAGGTTTCTTAATTGAATTTATACTATACCTGCTTTTATCTGTACAATACTGATTATCAGTTTATTCCAAGTTAATTTTGCACGTAAAGATCATTAAGAGTTTTGGTCTTACAGAAAATGTATTGACCTTAAACGTCTGCAAGCTTCTATCTTTTTCTGTTTTTTACTTCTTCATTTTATCTTTGGATACCAAACAAGGTATTTTCAACATTGTCTGATCAGCCTTCAGCAAAATAAGTGGGTTTTTACCCTCTGGTTACCCCCCAAAGACGCAAAGGATTATGGGGATGTGAAAGTTGAGAATACCTATTAAACTGCATTTTTTTCTTTTTTAGTCTCCCGAGAGATCAGAAGCTGACAAACAGTGGGGTCTGTGTGTATTTGATGATGTTGTCGAATATTATGGTCCTGTAAGTAAACATGCTTTATTCTTATATATACTATCAATTGCATGTGTTTTTTCCTCTTCGTTAGTTTCACACAAGTGGGCTACCTGTGCCTATACTACAAACGGATAGAGATGAACTGAGCGCTGATCAAAAAAAGTCAGAAGGCATTATCTCCTCTTCTCAGTCTTCCTCTTTTCACGCTTGAGACAGGTATCCCAGAGAAGATAATACGCGTAATGGAACCTTATTAGTATACCTTGGAGGATGCACCTCCCGTTCAAGCCTTGTATAACCCTTAGCGTTTTTTACTTTTTGCTTTACTAACTACGCGAGCGTCTTGTTCGTTCGTTCGTGTGTTCTTGCGTTCGTTTTATGGCGAGGTGTGCCCTTAGTCAACCGTATGTTTGAAGTTGGAAGAACCTACATAGCACTCAGTTGATGTAATGTATTCAAAAACTCTGTTGTATTTTATTGTCGTATTATCTATTAGAAAAATTGTATTTTTAGAAATATATTACATCAACTGCTTGCTACGTAGGCTTGCCCGAATGATTTTAGACTCTATGGCTAACTCTCGTGTTTATTGTCCCCTGCATGGTTTGGACGATTGGTTTTGACGAAATACTTGTCTCTCGGCACCCTAGCTTCATGTGAACGGGGCCAGTAATTGAATAAATGAGTATTTCATTTATTACCCCTGTTTATTTCAGGCTTCGTTCAAGTATCAGGAGTACTTTTTACGAGCAACTTTGAATTTTACTGTCGATAAAAGTCCCTCAGTGCGGCAGGTAAGAGTACTAAATTATTTCTTCCCTTGTTTTGGGATACTAATATGGACTATTTTTGGAGTGCATGTTACGTCATAGCCGCCATGTTGGTTGACTATACAAAGCAATCCCCATGAAGCTTCTATTGTTAGACTGAGCAACCAAGATGGCGGCTGTTT